CCCCAAAACCCCAAAACCCCAAAACCCCAAAACCCCAAAACCCCAAAACCCCAAAACCCCATTTGCATCAATTTTAATTGATATTTATTAAAAATGATTGACAAGCTCATCATAACATTGTCTCTGGTGAATCTATTCACAAACTCTGCATATTCTTCCATTGCACCATTCTATCCTCTTGAAGCTGCTAAGAAGGGAGTGAATCCAATCTATATCGGTAAGCGATATCTTATTTCAACATTATCTTTGAGCTCGTATCTAATCTCTATTCAGGATTCATATTTTCTATTTACTCTCTGGTCAAGGCGATGGTGGCTCCAATTGTAGGCAACTTGATGTCCAAGACTGGAAGAAAAGTCATGATCTTTTCAGGTTTATTCCTAGAAGTAAGTCTTGCCAGCATAACTATTTTTGCCGAGATTAAGTATAAAATTACCAAGCATTGCATTTATGTTAAGCGTGCTTGCTTATCTTTATATCTGAATGATTGGGGCCACGACATTTTTGGAATATCTTGCCTAATAATCTTGCTATTTCAAACAGAAATTTCTATTTGAGAGATGCCTTTATCATGTAGCTCAAGAATTGCTTGGCTGGATTCAATCAATCTGAAAAAAAATTTAAAGTGAAGACAGGAAACTCTTTCTCTTAGAAAGAATAAGTTCAAATGCGCCTTTATTGTGATATCTCATTTATGGAATTATATAGGGAACTGCAATCATCTGATTTGGACTTATTGATTATGTTGAGGATGGGTAAAAACATTTTTAATTTATAGAACAACTTATGCCATTCTAAGCGCTCTTTGTAGAGTCTTTGAAGGTACAGGAAATGCCTGATTGGTCACATCATGTAAGACTCAAGGATTATCTTTTTATAGCTTACGCCTTAGTTGCAAGCCATTACCCAGAAGAAAAAGAAAATGTTATCGGAACTTTACAGATTTTTACAGGCAATAAAAGGATTTATTTTTAGGTATTGGAATGATGATGGGTCCGCTTCTTGGTTCTGCATTGTATGCAATTGGAGGTTTCCAGCTTCCATTTTACGTAACAGGAGGAGCTCTCTTCCTCCTCACTTTCTTTGCATTTGCAACTTTGCCTAGCAAAGAAAACTTCGCCCCTGATATGAGGTGGTCGCCGAACTCTGGAATTGTCAAGAACGAGCTCACTTATCTTGAATGTCTCAAAAACTTGGTAAGTTTGATTTTGAGTTAAAAAGAGTCAACAACTGTTGCCTGCAGGACTATGGCTGGACCTTTTGGAGAAGCAGTTGTCTCTCAAGCAAGATTAGATACACTATTGAGAAGTTTGCAAATCTAATATTTTATTTAACATCTAACCTTGTCCTTATAGAGAGTTGTAATGATCAGTTCAATCGTGGTCTTGAGTCTTCTGCAGCTAACTTTCAGGGAACCAGTTTTGCAATTTAGACTTATCGATTTGGGAATAAATCCATCATATGCAGGTCTCATCTTTGCTCTAGATTTAGTTGGATATATTGGCGTGTCAGTTGTTTTCAGCAGAATTCCAAAAGAGAAGAAAAATTTAAATTTCTTGGTATATCTAAGCATGCTGATTGCAGTGGTTGGTCTGTTCTTTGTTGGAACAATTCATGTTCTTGGAGTACCTGACAGCTTGATTCCTCTGATCATTGGTATTATCATTAACGGAACAGCTGGTGCTCTCTGTATTAACAACAGTGTAGCTGCAATGATCAATATCCTGAATATTGACTATCACCGTAGAGGAGAATTAGTGAACAACATTGCTTCAGGAATATTTGCTGCTTGTTTCTCAATGGGAGAAATGTTGGGACCTATTTGTGGATCAGTACTCACATCAATCACTGGAGGATTCACTCATGGGATTACTGTGGTCAACATTGCGGTTGTTGTCATGACAGTTCTTACCACCTATCACTTGGCTGGGGATGTCCTCTTCTGTCTTGATAAGCAAGAATACGGAAAGTTTGGCAGAGTTCCAGGCAAAGATAAGAGTAAATCTTAGTTAACAAGTATCTATAGTGGCCTATATCAAAAATGTTCCTGGAGAAGGAGATTATCACAAACTTGAAGATGAAGAAGAGCTCCTTGAATTTGAAGTCAAAGGTGTAGATGGAGAGAAGGAAGGTGAACAGAAGAAATAAGCATGCTTTTTGGTAAGATGTAAGAGATTTCAATAATTTTTATGCTTTAAGGGGTTTTGGGGTTTTGGGGTTTTGGGGTTTTGGGG